CCAAAGAGGATTTTCACTCTTACGAAAAAAGCTGTTGCCATACTAATGCGGGTCTTTCGTAAAAGCAAAGTGGCTTAATAAAAATCAAATGATCATCTCAATAGATGCTGGAAAGGCATTTGACAAAATTCAACATCGACGTATGAGCAAAACTCTCAACAAAAGGAGCACAGAGGAAACACAGCTCAACATAATAAAGTCTGTATGTGACACACACATAGCTAACATCATACTCAGTGGTGAAAGCTGAAAGCTTTTCCTCTAAGATCAGGAACAAGGCAAGAACATCCGCTCTCATCACTTCTATCAACATGGTATTGGATGTCCTAGCCAGAGCAAGTAGGCAAGAAAGAAAAGAAATAAAAGGCATCCAAACTGGAAAGGAAGTGAAACTGTCACTATTTACTGATGTTTATGTACAGAAATGGCTATGCAGAAAACCCCAAAGACTCCACCAAAAAAACGTTAGAATAAATGAATTCAGTGAAGTTGGAGGATACAAAATCAACAATACAGAAATCTGCTGCATTTCTATATAACAACCCATCAGAAAAAGAAGTTAAGAAACAATCCCATTTAAAAAAAAAATCTCGGGGCGCCTGGGTGGCTCAGTCGTTAAGCGTCTGCCTTCGGCTCAGGTCATGATCCCAGGGTCCTGGGATCGAGCCCCGCATCGGGCTCCCTGCTCCGCGGGAAGCCTGCTTCTCCCTCCCGCACTCCCCCTGCTTGTGTTCCTTCTCTGGCTGTGTCTCTCTCTGTCAAATAAATAAAAATCTTTAAAAAAAATAAATAAATAAAATAAAAAAATAAAAAATAAAAAATAAAAAAAATCTCATTTATAATTGCATTGGAAAGAATAACATACCTAGGAATAAACTTAACCAAGGAGGTGAAAGACCTATACCCAGAAAACCATAAAAAAGACACTGATGAAAGAAACTGAGGATGACACAAACAAATGGAAAGATATTCCAAGCTCCTGGACTGGAAGAATATTGTTAAAATGTCTATAGTATGTACCCAGGGCAAGCTATGATTCAGTGCAATCCCTATCAAAATTCCAATGGCATTATTTACAGAACTGAACAAAGAATTCTAAAATTTATACGAACTACAAAAGATCCGGAATGGCTGAAGCTACCCAGACAAAGGAGGACAAAGCTGGAGGCATCATGCGTCCTGATTTCAAACTACATCACAGTGCAACAGTAATCAAGACAGTACAGGATTGGCAATAAAAACAGATTCAGATCAACAGAACAGAACAGAAAGCAAAGAAATAAATCAAGTATGTATGTTCAATTAACTTACAACAAAGGATGAATGAATAAAGAAAATGAATCTGGAAAAATATATATGTGTCTCCACAAAACGGAATTATTATTTAACCATTGAAAAGAGAGAAAAATCCTGCCATTTGTGACAACACATATGGACCTTACGGGCATTATGCTAAGTGAAATAAGTCAGGGAAAGACAAATACCGTATCACTTATATAGAGAATCTAAAAATTAAAATAAAGAAAAAAACAACCCAAGCCAATAAATACAGAGAACAGACTGGTGGTTGCTTGAGGTAGGGAGGTGGGGGTGGGCCAATGGGTAAAGGGAGTCAAAAAACACAAGCTTCAGTTATAACATATGTAAGTCGTGGGGATGTGATGTACAGCACGGCAAATACAGTTAATAACACTGTACTGCATGTTTGAAAGTTGCTAAGAGAGTACATCTTAGAAATTCTCATAAGAAAAAAATTCTGTAACTATGTATGGTGATGGATGCTAATTAGAGTTACTGTGGTGATCATTTTGCAGTATCTACAAATAACAGATCATTATGTTGTTCATCTGAAACTAATGCTAGGTGGTATGTCAATTATACCTCAATAAAAAAATGAAGGCGGAAAAAAACCTCACCTTCATGTAAACAAAAATAAAAATGAAAAAAGTTATTATCTTCTATCAGCTGTAAACAAAAGCAATACATAAATTAAGATAAAGTGGAGTTGGTATGGAAGAATGCCACATGCAGAAACAGAAAATGAGACGAGATTACTTGGGGGTAACCCACCTATTGTAAACAAATAGAAAAGCTGGGCAAATCATCTAGGAAAAAAAGTTTGAGACTATTAAAGAGCTTCCAAGGCAGTGAGTATTTCTGGTGCCAAAATCCCAAAGAAGGGAGGCATCAAAAAAATCAAATATTGCTCTCTCCCCACTATGTGAGCATACAATGAGAAGACCATGAACTGTAAACCAGGACAGGGACTTCATGAGAATCCACCCATGCTGGTACCCTGATCTTGTACTTCTATCCTCCACAACTGTGAGAAGTAAATGTTTGTTGTTTAAGCCAAAAAACAAAAACAAAAAAAAAAACCCACAAAAAACAACCCAAATACCTAGAATAAATCTAACAAAAGATACAGAAGTTCTCTGTTTAGGAAATTATAAAACATTGAGAGAAATTAGAGAACATCTATGTTAGTGGAATGACAAAGCATGCTCATGAAATGGAACACTAAATATTATAAAAAATGTCAATTCCAAGTTGATCTCTAGGTTCAATGCAAACTAAATCAAAATTCTAGCAGAGTGCACACACGCATGGGTACGTGTGTGTATGTGCAACCTGACGAGTTGATTCTAAAATTTAAATGGAAGTGCAAATGGTCAAGAACAGCCAAGAAATTTCAAAGAACAAACTCAGTGGACTTCTCCTACTGGAGAGAAGACGTAAAAAATAAAGCCTATATTGAGACAGTAATGGTATTGGCACAAAAGGAGATCTATGTAACAATGGAATAGAACATAATCCAGAAAAAGACCAAACCTATATAGACACTTGACTTATGACAAAGATGTCCTTTTAGGAAAAGGACAGTTATTTCAACAAACAGTGTTGAGACAAATGGATATTCGTACAGGAAAAAAAAATGAATCTTGACTCCTCTTCACACAATAGGTAAAAAATCCATTCCAAGTGGATTATAGATCTAAATATAAAAGGTAAAAAAAAATAAGTCTTCTAGAAGATAAGAAGGAGAGTATCTTCATAATTTGGGGATGAAGATTTAACAAGATACAAGAAACACTAAGAGGAAAACGTTGATAAATTAGACTACTACTATTTAAAGTTACTTTTATTCATCAAAGAAACCATTAAGAGAGTGAAAAAGTAAGCCATAAATACTGTATGATTCCAATGATAAAAAGTTCAGAAATAGGCAAAACTAATCTACGGTGTTAGAGGATGGATTAGCGATCACCTGTGGGGAAGCGGAAGAGTACTCACTGGAAAAACATGGAAGAGGTTCTGGGATCCTGATAATCTTCTATTTCTCATCTACGGTGGTGTGGTGACAAGGGTATGTTCACTTTGTGATAATTCATTGACCTGTACACTCACAAATTACTCCTATTTCAGTCTGAATTGTTATACTTCAATAAAAAGGTTCCTCAAAAAATTTTGGCCTGTGGGGCGCCCGGCTGGCTCAGTCAGTACAGCATGTGACTCTTGATCTCGGGTTGTGAGTTTGTGCCCCAGGTTGGGTGTAGAAATTACTTTAAAAAAATAAAATCTTTAAAAACAACTTTTGGTGTGTACTATTAAATCTCTGACCTTTTCAAAAGATTCCTTAAGGAATATCCCTTTTTGGTACGTAAATAATTCTGGGTATACTCTTAAAATCTTTCTTTCAAGCATATCATGGAAATTTCCTTGCTAGTCCAGTAGACTAACTTTTAAGGCTAACTGTCATGAATTGGGGTATCTGTTTGGGGTCGAGGTAGAGCACAGCGACCAGCTACTGTTGCCCCCCTTCCCGAATCACTTCCTGTTAGTCCTTCTCCCTAGTTTACTGCATGTTAGCACAACCTGGAGAGGATATTCCGCTAACAAAACACGACTTGTCATTTGGAAGAATGCTCCTCTGTTCGTAACTCATGCTTGTTCACACCCAAACCCCTGCACTGCGCTTCTCTGACTCCATTTCCAAATTCTGGTGCCTGATTGTCAGGGTAGCTAGCTAGGAAGGTATATAATACAGCAGGAACACTTCCCTACTCTTGGCCCGGTTGGCTTGATAATCCTGCCTTTAAGTTAAACCTAGTTTCCTTCAGCCTCTAGACACTGAAACCTTCGCAGTTGCTCTAACACTCAATGGCAAAATGTGCTCTTAATGGCTTTCAAACCACAAGCTAGAACCACAACAAAAAAAATGAGGTTTAGGGGCACCTGGGTGGCTCCATCAGTCGGGCATCCGACTCTTGATCTCAGCTTCGTGAGTTCAGGCCCCGCGTTGGGCCCTGTGCTGGGCGTGAAGCCTACTTAAAATTCTTAAAAAATGAGGTTTAGTTCACCAGATTGGAGCTGGATGAATTAGAGGTCCTGAGTGGCCTATGTGTTACCTAACCAGGTTCCATCTTGCCCAGTGCTTCATACATCCTCAGGTCCATGGACCAGAAGCAAGGAGGGTGGAAGAGAGCACACGTGAAGAAGCCCCAGCATGAGGATACCCAAAAAGCTGACGAAATGACTCCAGCCACTCACTGCAATGCTCTTGAGTGAAGAGACCACTGGCCTTATTTTGCCACATAAAAGTACCATTTTTATACTGTATCTGTTTTTAACATGTATTTCATCTCCTAAAACCTGTCACTAGTACTGGAGAACACTGGTCCAACTGGCCCCTGTCAGGACTCCCGTGACACAAATCCTCTGGACGCTTCAGGGGAAGTGACAGCTCCAGCGATTCTCTTTTGGAACTCAGGGCAGCCTGGGGCCTCGGTCCTGCAGGGACCGCTCTCAGATCTCTGGACAGAAGCCTCGCCATGTGCTAGCACCCTAGCTCATGGGTCACATTCTGCTAGTGATTCCATGGTCACTGTGGACCAGTGGTGGCAGCAAGAATCCTCAAGCAAAGTGACGGATGGGCACTGATGGGTCGCTCAGGGAGGGACACAAGGACAGTCTGACAGAGAGCTGGCAATCTTACTCACCGAGGTCTACAAAAAGATGCTTTTCTCCTACGTTATTCTTCACAACTAAAAATGACAGGTCAGGACGGCTTTGCTCAGCTGACCCCAGCCTCCCCTGTTCCTTTGAATTCTGTGTCTGGCTCTCTCCTCTATCTTTATCTGAGGACATTTTGCTAAAGGAAATTCCTTGTTTAATTGGCGTTTCAGGAAAATGGGAAAATCCGTGGCCCGTGCTCTCTGAAATACTATCATCATCTTCACTGGCAATCAAGTGAAAAGCAGGCTGCAAAATTTTTCTCACAAAATTACCTAGAAGAAAAAATATTATGATTAATCTAATTCTTTTCCACAAACTGTAACTCAAGATCTAGGCACAAATCTACACATGACAACTTTATTCAGTAAGGCTTCTTTTTTTGACTTCTGGTTTTAAAACTGAGTTGTTATTACAAATTGTAACATACTTCTGTTACTTCCTTCCTCTTGTGCAATCTTTTATTTTTTCCAATTCCCACTGACAGGGTAGCTTGGTGTCACTTATAATAAATATCATCAAAGACTCCACCAGGGGCACCTGGGGGGCTGAGTCGGTTAAGTGTCCAACTCCTACTCTCAGCTCAGGTGTTGATCTCAGGGTCGAGCGTTCAAGCCCTGCATTGGGCTCCACACTGGGCATGGAGCCTACTTAAAAAAAAAAATTCCACCCAAAAACTGCCAGAACTAAGACATGAATTCAGCAAAGTCGCAGGATATAATCAATGTACAGAAATCAGTTGCATTTCTATACACCAATAATGAAGCAGCAGAAACAGAAATCAAGGAATCAATCTCATTTATAATTGCATCAAAAACAGTAAGATACCTAGGAACAAACCTAATTAAAGAGGTGAAGGACCTGTATTTTGAAAACTATAGAATACTTATGAGAGAAATTGAAGAGGACACAAAGAAATTGAAAAACATTCCACGTTCATGGATTGGAAGAACAAACATTGTTAAAATGTCTGTACTACCCAAAGCAATCTACATATTTAATGCAATCCCTATCAAAATAACACCAGCATTTTTCACAGAGCTAGAACAAACAATCCTAAAATTTGTATGGAACCACAAAACGCCCCAAAATAGCCAAAGTGATCCTGAAAAAGAAAACCAAAGCTGGAGGCTTCACGATTCTAGACTTCCAGCTCTATTACAAAGCTGTAGTCATTAAAACAGTACGGTACTGGCACAAAAACATAGATCAATGGAGCAGAATAGAAAACCCAGAAATGGACCCACAACTATATGGTCCACTCATCTTTGACAAAGCAGGAAAGAATATCCAATGGAAAAAAGACAGTCTCTTCAACAAATGGTGCTGGGAAACCGGACAGCAACATGTTAAAGAATGAAAACCAAAGAATGAAACCAGGCCACTTCCTTACACCATACACAAAAATAAATTCAAAATGAATGAACAACCTAAATGTGAGGCAGGAAACCATCAAAATCCTAGAGTTCGAGAACAAAGGCAGCAACCTCTGTGACCTCAGCTGTAGCAAATTCTTACTACACGTTGCTGGAGGCAAGGAAATAAAAGTGAAAATGAACTATTGGGACGTCAAGATAAAAAGCTTCTGTACAGTGAAGGAAACAATCAGCAAAACTAAAAGGCAGCCTATGGAATGGGAGAAGGTATTTGCAAATGACATATCCGATAAAGGGTTAGTTAGTATCCAAAGTCTATAAAGAACTTATCAAACTCAGTATCCAAAAAATAAGTAATCCAAGGGCACCTGCGTGGCTCAGTTGGTTGAGCATCTAGCTCTTGGTTTTGGCTCAGGTCATGATCTCAGAGTCTTGGGATTGAGCCCCTTGTCAGGCTCCGTGCTCAGTGGGGAGTCTGCTTGAGTATTTTCTCCCTCTGCTCCTCCCCCCAATCTCTCTCTCACTCTCAAAACAATAAATCTTTAAAAAACAAAAAGAAATAACCCAGTTAAGAAATGGGTAGATGAACAGACATTTTTCCAAAAACGATACCCAGATAGCTAAAAGACCTATGAAAAGATGCTCTACATGAGTCATCATCAGGGAACTACAAATCAAAACCACAATGAGATACCACCTCACACCAGTCAGAATGGCTAAAATTAACAAGCCAGGAGACGACAGATGTTGGCGAGGATTTGGAGAAAAGGGGACCCTCTTACACTGTTGGTGGGAATGCAAACTGGGCAGCCACTCTGGAAAACAGTATGGAGGTTCCTCAAAAAGTTAAAAATAGAAAACCCTATGACTCAGCAACTGTACTACTAGGTATTTACCCAGAGGATACAAAAATGCAGATTCGAAGGGGTACATGCACCCCAACGTTTGTAGCAGCATTATCAACAATAGCCAACTATGGAAAGAGCCCAAGTGTCCATTGTCTGATGAATGGATAAAGATGTGGCGCACGCGCCATTAAAAAGAATGAAATCTTGCCATTTGCAATGAATGGATGGACCTAGAGTATATTGCGCTAGGCGAAATAAGTCAATCAGAGAAAGACAAACACCATACGATTTCACTCATATGTGGAATTTAAGAAACAAAACAGATGAACATATGGGAAGGGGAAAAAAAAAGAGGCTGGGAAGCAAAACATAAGAGACTCTTAACAACAGAGAACAAACCGAGGGTTGCTGGAGGGAGGTGGGTGGGCGATGGGCCAGATAGGGGATGGATGTTAAGGAGGGCACTTGGGATGAGCAGCGGGTGTGCTATGTAAGTGATCGATCAATCACTAAATTCTCCTGAAACCAATATTACACTATATGTTAACTAACTAGAATTGAAATAAAAATTTGAAGAAAAGAAAAAGACAACTGCCCAGTGACCTGACCTGCAAGATTCTCTAATTACTGTTATTTTAAAATAAATTTTATTTTATTCCATTGTAAAAACTAAAAATAAGTAAATAAATCATCGTAGAAAGGAAAGTTGGTTTGAGAAGATGTGTCAATGTTGCTAGTATGAGCTTGACCCTAACGTACTGTCCCAAGAGAGCACCACTTTTATTTTTTTATTCTTATTTTTAAATATTTTATTTATTTGAGAGAGAGACAGCAGAGCGAGAGAGACCATGAGCTGGGGTGAGGGGGCAAGAGAGAAGCAGACTCCCCGCTGAGCAGGGAGCCTGACACCTCAGGGCTCGATCCCAGGACCCCAGATCACGACCTGAACCACCCACCCGGGCGCCCTGAGAGCACCACTTTTATTAATATAAATTGAGCAGAACTTATCTTGACAATTAATGGGTTAAAGCATGAAAGGTTTATATGCATCAACAGTGCTGCCGAGATAGTGCACATTAACACTTGAGTCAGGATGTCAGCAAAGTTCTCCAGAGCTGCTTCTCGCTCCTTTGCCTGTCAGAATACGCGCTGGGCGCCCTGACATTCACAGCCATCACCTCCGCAACTGTTGCTCCTCCTGCTTCACCTCTCATTGGTCACCAGATGGGCTGTGGCATCATAAGTGAAGCCCAGATTGCAAGCAATTAAATACGTGTACTGCATTTCAACACTTAACTCTACGAGCTCTAACTACTAGAGGTCCTTGTCTTTACCAAGAAAAGATGATATGACAATCCAGAACTTCTTTAACTCTCATGTATTATTTATACCATAAAATCAAGCGAGAATTTGGTTAAGTTGCTTCATATAGAACAATACTGGAGAAACGCCGTGCTGTCAGAGAAACTTGATTTTAATTTCTAAAACTGCTATTGTCTGGGTTTGTCACTTTATTTACCAGACAGCTTAAACTTTTAAATACACATGCTCTAAATTCAAAATTCTCTCTCCAAATTAATTACTCTCTGCTCAATGAAACAAACCCAGTAGCTCATAAAACACTATACATCAGAATGAAAGCAAACGCGTGTGATCCTTGCAGTGATATACAGGCATGATTAAATCTGGAATGAGGGAACTGAGGGTAAATACTGAGTAAAAAGAAATCATGATGTAGCACAGGACAACAAAGCAATACGAACATAAACTGATAAGGTTGATGTTTCCAGAAATGTAAAATTACATCTACTTGACTGGAGCCAGTGCGAGAAGTGAAGGCAGGGCTGCAGAACCACCTGGGAAGGTAGCGCTCTGCAGGCCAGGGGGGGCCTCTAACCTCTGGCAGGCAGCTAACGTGGCCAGGACACAATGACAGTATCAGCAGCATGAAGTCTAACACAGGCTTCCAGCAAACTCTGCTTTCTACTTCCCTCCCCCATTCTCACCAGCCTCGCCCTCATCATTAATGTGGGGACAGGCATTTCATTGGCTGGGAATAACTCAAAAGAATCAATCAATCCCAGGAATTTCAGGTCCTACTGCAGGCTGGCAGAGGTGTATTTTAGGCAGATCAAATTTACACATTTTGCAAACATTCTCTGATCGCTTACGCTTACTCTAATTCTGTTTTCTGGAAGGCTGACAATGTGTGCTAGAAATGTCACCAAGACATAAATGGAAGGACAGAAACTGAAGGGGAAATCTTGGACTAATTTCGTCATCTCTGCACCTCCAGTCCTGGCAGTTCCTAATTCTTGAGGAAGGAAGTTTCGGCCGCCCTCTACCCCCGCACCCCCAGGTTTGCCTCAAACTTCTGTCTCCATACTTCTGTGCATGCTGTTCTGCCAGTAAAGCCTTTCTTACTTTGTTTCTGCGAGGGAATCGGATTTAAAGGCAGCTTGAATGTCATCTGCTTTCAGAAGACATCTGTAGCAGAGACTGCCAATTACCTGACACATTGCTACTCTCCCATCTTCCCAAGCAACCAATCTCAAGGTTTAGCCTTGTAGGCAAGGAGCTGTACAGCAGACTACGAGGAGTGAACAGAATCAAAGAAATATCTTGCTTAAAACTCTGCAGAGTGGAGAGCCTGGTCCTAGAACCCACTTAGGAGTCTTTGATTCAGCGCGTCCTTATCAAATGCCTGCTTGCATTTTACGGCTCTTGCAGTCTGCGCCATCACTAATACTATTGATAAAGATACCATTATGTGCCAAGCTCTGGAAATGAAAAGTGAATAAGAAACTGTCCCTGCCCTAAAACATTAAGTAGCACGGAAGTAAAGAAGACAGAACAACAACAACACAGAAAACTACCTCAGCAAGAGCCGAATGCTTGGACGCAAGAAGCCCTGGGCTCTCCGCAACCCAGACGAAACGCTGCCCTGGGTCTTAGGGTTCGGGACGTGACAGAAATGGCTTCTCATTTGACGATATCTACACTGAGTCTCCACAGGCCAGGTAACTGGAGTGTGTCTTTTCAGACAGCAGCATCAAAAAGTGCAAAGGCCCACGGACAAGAGAAAATGCGGCCCCGGCAGGAGCTAAGTAAAGGACAGAGGGAGAAGGCCTATTTTGTACCAGGACTGGCCCTTGTGGCTCTCATTATGACTGCAAGAGGCCCCTCAGTAACAACCATCAGGAAACTTGGAAAAAAAATTGAGGTTTGTTAACTTATAAGACCTGAAAATTACACTGCATACCTGGGGCCACACAGCAAGCTCTGGAGTAGGGAGCGCATGCATGGGCAGGGGGTTCTGCTTTTATTGGGGTTGAGGGTGTAGCCCTAGGGTTTCCTGGGCTCACACCTTATTGGTGAATTTAAAACATAAGAGCAGGAATTTAGGGGCGCCTGGGTGGTTCAGTCATTAAACGTCTGCCTCTGGTTCAGGTCACGATCCCGGGGTCCTGCTTGGCAGGAGGCCTGTTTCTCCCTCTCCCACTCCCCCTGCTTGCGTTCCCTCTCTCTCTCTCGAGGTCTCTCTCTCTGTCAAATAAATAAATAAAATCTTTAAAAAAAAAAAAAAAAAGCAGGAATTTAAAGCAAGGAAGCCAAAACAAGAGGTCCAAAAGGTCAGTTATCAATCAAGATTTCTGAATCTAAAGAGCCTCAGTGGGTGGTATGTGGCTGCCTGGTGTTTATTGAGATAGCCGTCTTTGAAATGGATGCCTCAGCAATCAAAGCTTAAGTCAGGTGCTTGCATTACAACAAAATAGAACACTGTCAAGGTTTACAACACAAGGGTCAGGTGGTGAGAGAGAAGGCTAGTGGACCTCTGTGGGCCTCTGTACAAACTAAGACATCTGGACATTTTCCTGAAGGCAATGAGCAATCCTGGAAGGGTGTGAGGCACATTAGTGGTATAATCAGATCACTCCAGCCAGCTGACTAAATAAATAAATAAGCTGAGAGAAAACAGAGCTCAGAGATGACACCAACATTTCCACTTGGGTAGTTGGGTAGATGATGGATACTACTCACTGATACACGTATCAAGGGAGAAAGGGCAAGTTTAGGGGGAAAATGAGGCATCTGGTCTAGGAATGCTGAGTTTGAAGTATCTATGTGGGAATGTTTAATAGGCAGTTGGCTGTATGGGTCAAGGAGGGCAATCTTGGCTGAAGACGAAGACTTAAGACTTTGACTACCATCTATGTGTTGATGACTTGAGAGTGGATGATAATCAAGGTTATGGATAGAGTGAACAGAGGGACAAGGATAGATTCTACAATTATCAATATCTAAGGGATGAAAGAAAGATGGAAGGAATGTCCAACTATACAACACAAATAGGGAGATAATAGGAGCCCCTCATACATAGCAAACTAGGTCACTGTGACCTAGCATTAGTCTAATTTAGTAATTAGGTTCCTGACTTCTATGCTAGTTCTTTTGTGACTACGTTCATGCCTTTTCCCCTAGGTACCCCTGAAACTATCAAACAAATGTAGTTCTGAAATGAATTACCTATCACGGGAACTTCAGTTAATCATCTGCCATCTAGACCTAGAAATACTCTGCTCTACTGCTGCTTTGATAAACACTCAGGCTTTGGGCTTCTGTTTAGACCTTGATTTTCAGCATTTCCATTCCGCCTCCTTATTGCCCCTCAGACTGACTTCATTTTATACCCGGGCCTGCATCTCTCAATGTCCAGTTCCAGACAAACACTCTGGTTACACTCTCAGGCTTACATATGCAGACATTTTCCCAATCCTGAGGTTCCACCTGGAGCAATAAACAATAAAAAAGCCTCTCCAGATATGGTTTGGAGCCCAAGCCCCAGTCCTCATGGACTAAAGGCTAAGGCTAAGGCAAGGCTGAAGTGAAGGACAGAAATATAGCTCTGAGGCATCACAGATGAGACTTGAATTAGGCCTCTCGGGCAAAAAACTTCTAAAAAGACTCCTGTTAGAGCAGAAACCAGTACTAGGCAATGCATGGCCATCTCAAAATCTCTAGCAAGAGTCACTAATACCAAGGACCTCCTGAGTAGTTAATGTATCTAAAATGTGTTTAGAAGAGGAAGGCAGGTCTAGAACCAAAGGCCAATCCTGAAGATGTGAAAAATCACATCTCGTTATTCAGGATAGGTTAATAACCATAAAACCCGACAAATACTTACAAAAGTTTAAGAGGAAAAGGAAAATGTGAGGATTTTAACACAATTCCATGACTTTTTAAAAAACAGTATACTTACCAACATGAACATTATCTTTAAATGCCACATCATGGAGCTGAAATATTAGATGGCGGCTAAATTTTTCATCAGTGCTGGAATCCAAGTTGAAAACATCTTCGGCTGAACAATTAACCCTGTATAGCTCTTGAAGTGCTTTACAAACATGCTAAAAACACAGGTAAAATGTAAGTAATTAATATTTCAAAAAAATTTTTCCATGAGAAAATTCAAGTATCTTGGTACAACTCATTTTTTATTTTATTATCTGAATATTTACTATGTAACAACTTCACCAAATTACTGATGTAGAGAAATATACATTCATATTTAAATTATCATACATGTTCAAAAAGTCATAGGCTCTCAGGAGTAAAGGACTTCCTAAAATTTGAACAGTTTATCTTATACATTAATCTCTTCTAAAATCACAATAAATATATTTATTTTTAAGCACAATAAGTATATTTCTTTTTAAGCATCTCTTTAAATATCATCTGTGAGTTAAAAAGTCACAATTCCATTTTTCATAGTTTTAGTTTTCGGAAGGTTCCTCACACACACTGAGCCAAAGTCTACCTCCAAGAATACAGCCCCCTGGGCCTGGATGCTGCTGACACTGAAGGCAATTATCCATTATAAGAAGGCAGCAAGCACAGGGATAGGAGCACAAGATCTGGAATCGAAAGATCTAGGTTTGAGTACTGGCTTTGCCACTAACCAGCTGTGTGACTTTGGTCAAGTCCAAACCTTACATTCCTCAGTTGCAAAATGGGATAATAACCTGAGCTAACTTTTGGGATTGTTGTTAGGAGTAAATGACAAGATGAGAGTAAAGAGTTAGCACAGTGCTTGGCATATGTACCTGCTTAAAAGCATTAGCAGTACAGCCACTCAAGAAGTCACTTCTGAAAGCTCAGTCTTCCCACTTGCAAAAGGAAGTCACTAAGAACTGCCATACATGGCTATCTTGACATGAGCAAAATGCTTATAAACTGCCAAGCACTTAGATACCTAACAGTTATATAATAACTTGTATTTATTCATGTTATTTTTGCATTATTATAGCAACCCCTCCCACACTCTCTGTATTCTTTAATAAGTTCTTTCTCAGAGGCCTCCTCAATTTCCCTCTCTACATCAATTCCCCCTTCATACTCTGTCCCCAGTTATAGTACTTACACAACTACAACTTTATGTTCATTTGTGTGATTATTTTGACTTCCATTTCCTCTCCATTACAGAGGCTATCCCTCACTATCCGTTCTCTCCTGCTTCTGTGGAGGTAGAATGCTGATTACCTGGATAAAGGCCATCCAGAATAAAGACCACACTTCCCAGACTCCCTGGCAGTAATGTGTGGCCACAAGACTAAGTTCAGGCCAATGGGATGTGAACAGAAGGAAAGCAACTGACTTCTAAGTTATACTCTTCTAGGGGAGAGGCATGCCCGTCCCTTCACCATTTTCTACTGACTGGAAAGCAGATATTGTGATAGTGAGCCATTTGGACAATATACATAAAGGCAACATCTCAGGAAATAGCAAAGCAACAAGCCTAGTCTCTAATGTAATGGAGCCATATCCAGACACTACATGAGGGAGAAAAAAACCTCTATCTTGTTTAAGTCACTTTTTTTTTATTATGGTAACTAAACCTATCCTAATTTGTTATCCTCCTGTGGACTATAAATTCTATGAAGGCAGAAGCTATGTCTCTGTGGGCTAAACTATGGTCTCCCAAGTGCCTAGACACACTGACACTTACTAGAGGCTGAAACATTTTTGATAAATGAATAAAGTCTAGTTTTGTACTTTGGAGATATACAGAATAAATGTAGTGACTCTGTAGGTTAAACAAACGAGAAGCAATCCTAATCATTTAAGTTCACTTTCCCAAGTTAAACTTCAAATAAAAATTTAAGACATTAAAATATTAAAACTACAAAATCCACAAGTTAAAAGTATGATTATTTGAGCAATGTTAACTGTCAGTATAGTTTTACAAATGCAACTAGCACAAGAGTCCATTCCATTTGGCAGAAGGGGCTTACTAAAGTTTGTCAGTTAAGTCATTGACTCAAAGGATGATATGTTATCACTAGCTGTTATTAGTCAGTTACTTCTTAACCATCTGTTAAGATAAGAGTTAATCTAATTTATGTGCCTCTTCACGTGGAGACTCAAAAGGAAAAGTACTTACTGGGTTACACACTTGTTATACAAAGTAACCAATAAATGAAATCAATCTCCATGTAAATATGTATGAAGATTATATTATCTAAAATAATCCGGGGGCACCTGGGTGACACAGTTAAGCATCCCACTCTTGGTTCAGCTCAGGTCTGATTTCAGGGTCATGGGATGGAGCACTCAACTTTGCTTAAGATTCCCCCTCCCTTTGCCCCTCCCCCTGCTCTTAGGGGAGCACACACTGCTATACCCAGCAGGTAAGCCCAGTTGTATAGAGATTGCTATAAAAGACCACAACTAGATAAAGCAATCTTAAGAAAAAAGAACAGAGCTGGAGGTATCACACTTCCAGATTTCAAACTAAAATACAAAGCTATAGTAATCAAAACAGTATGGTACTGACACAAAAGTACACACATAAATCAATGAAACAGAATAGAGAGCTCAGAAATAAACCCACAATTAAGTGGTCAGTTATTCAATGACAAAGAAGGAAAGAATATACAATGGATAAAAGATAGTGTCTTTAATAAATAGTGCTGGGAAAACTGAACAGCTACATGCAAAAGAATTCACTTTCGTACATCATATATAAAAATAAACTCAAAATGGGTTAAAGACCTAAACTGAAGACCTGAAACCATAAAACTCCTTGAAGAAAACAGACACAATAATCTCTTGAACATTTGTCTTAGCATTATTTTTTTTTATCTGTCTCCTCAGGTAAGGGTAACAAAAGCAAAAATAAACAACTGGGACTACATCAAACTAAAAAGCTTTTGCACAGTGAAGGAAACTATCAACAAAACAAAAATACAATCTACTGAGTGGGAGAAGATATTTATAAATGATATATCTGATAAGGGATTAATATCCAAAATATATAAAGAACTCCTACAACTCAACACCAAAAAACCAAACTGATTTTTAAAATGTGCAGAGGACTAGAACAGACCTTTTTCCAAAGAAGACACACAGATGGCCAATAGACACATGAAGAAATGCTCAACATCACTAATCATCAGGGAAATGCAAATGAAAACCACAATGAGGTATTACCTCACACCAGCCAGAATGGCTAGTACCAAAAAGACAAGAAATAACCAGTGTTGGGGAGGGTGTGGAGAAAAGGGAACCCTCGTGCACTGTTGGTGGGAACGTAAATTGGTGCAGCCTCTCTGGAAAACAGTATGGAGATTTCTCAAAAAGTGAAATATAGAACTACCAAATGGTCCACCAATTCCATTCCTGGGGATTTACCCAAAGAAAACAACAGTACTAATTCAAAGAGACACATGCATTCCTATGTTCATTGCAGCATTATTTCCAATAGTCAAGATCTGGAAGACACTGCATCCACTGAGAGAGGAATGCAAAAAGAAGATGTGGTGTATATATACACAATAAAATTACTCAGCCATGAAAAAAGAATAACACTTTGCCATTTGCCAGCACCGGTATTATGCTAAGTGAAATAAGTCAGATGGAAAGTCAAATACCACGTGGTTTCACTTATCTGTGTAATCTAAAAAACAAAACAAACCGAAACAGACTCAAAAATACAGAGAACAAACTGCAGATGCCAGAGTGGAGGAAGTAGGAGTATGGGCAAAATAGGTGAAGAAGATTAAGAGATAGAAACTTGCGTTATAAAATACATAAATTACAAGGATGTATGCACAACAATATAGGGAATATAGTCATTAATATTATAAGCTTATATGGTGACAAATGGAAACTAGACTTAACGTGGTGAATCTTATATAATGTATATAAACGTTAAACTATGTTAATATATCCTTAAAACTAATAAAATATTAGATGTCAACTATACTTCATAATAAGTAAATAAACCTAAGTAAGGGAGGGGGAAGCCAAGAGAAAGCTAACATTGCATGATTTTTTTTAAGTATTTGCATACATTTTTCAAAAAAATTTTAAAAAAAGAGTGATTCAACATAATCAGGAGATACTCTTTATCAAAAACATTTTAAGATATATTTTTAAAGTTATAAAATGTGTCATCTATAGTTAACATCTAAAAGAAAAAAATTAAGGGGTGCCTCAATGGCTCGGTCAGTGGGCGTACAACTCTTGATTTTGGCACGTGTATGCACTCTCTCTAAAAAAAAAAAAAAAGAAAAAAAATTAAGGGGTGCCTGGGTGGCTCAGTTGGTTAGGCGTCCAACTTTTGATTTCAGCCCAGTTCATGATCTCCAGGTCATGAGATCAAGGCCCATGTCGGGCTCTGTGTTCAGCGTGGTCTGCTTGGGATTCTCTCTCTCCCTCTGCCCCTCCCCTGCTTGCTCACTCTCTCTCTCAAAATAAAAAATAAAATAAAATAAAACCTTTAAAAAAATTTTAAAAAGGAAAAAAGAAAAATTAATCAATAAATGTTATTACCTACTTCGAGCCCAAATAATAGCCAATATAAGTTTAATAAAACTTAATGTAATAAAATCTTAAAAGATTTTATAAACAAATATTAACAGACTTTAGTTGAACAAGCCCATATTATCCCTTTTGTTAGTAACTTCCTGGTTGACACTGCTAAATCAAAAACATATACTAGAATTACAGTCTTTTCTCTTTGTTAAAAAACAGTAACTGTATTTCTAGATCATGTTTTACCAATACCACTGGACCTGAAATAGGAGTTAAGTTTTTCTAGACCTTAGTCTCCTCATTTATGATGGTGTAAGACAGAATAATTTCCAAAATTCCTTCCAGCACAAAAATTAGGATGCAATTTTTTTTAAAAGTTTTTTTTTATTTATTTACTTGAGAGAGAGAGAATGAGAGATAGAGAGCACGAGAAGGAAGAGGGTCAGAGGGAGAAGCAGACCCCCCACTGAGCAGGGAGCCCAATGTGGGACTCGATCCCAGGACTCCAGGATCCTGACCTGAGCCGAAGGCAGTCGCTTAACCAACTGAGCCACCCAGGCGCCCAGGATGCAATTTTTAATCAAAGTTTTCTTGAAATTCATCTCAGTAACCGATTTTTACAGTAAAAATTACTTTGCCTAACTTTTACCAGAGTCAGCTACTTGTAATAGAGTTAATATATAATTTAAAAACAAAGTTTCCAAACTACCACCTTTCTCAAGTCCATTTTAATAGATATACTGATATTACAATATATATGGACCTAAACTGAACCTCTGACCATTTTAGAAGTTTACTCAGAGAAGTCATATTAAGAAACAAAAAGTCAAAAGGAAGCGAAGAAAAAGGTGGTGAAACACAGAACCCAAATATTACATAGGTTGGACTCAATGAATGAATGAATGAATGAATAAGTGAATGAAGAGATATACAGATATAAGGAGAAAAACCTGAGTTTCTAATTTACCTCAATGAGTAATGCAACCATCTTTTTCCCATCAGCTTCTGGATTGGCAAGTTTGTTAAATTCCAAGTCAAAATAAAGCTTGCACACAGCGTTTTCAGGAATGACTTCATAGCAGTGTAAGAGATTTTTTCTGAATTGAGTAATTCAAGATTGTTAGGTTTACGTCTTATACCTTTTTAAAATCATGGCAGTTGATCTTATATCTCAAGATACTGCTTAACTGTGATTGAATGATATATAACTACGGCATAATGAAGACATGGCAAAGTGAACAACTGCTCCCTGTGGGTTTAGGGATCATATTATTAAGAGCTCCATCAAAGAAGATGTAACAATCATATTCTGTAACAGTATTTACTTGAAAATATGGTCAACCTCATGCTGTTATTTATTCACAGAATTTTGACATTGTATGACCTTTCTTTTTTCTTGGTGTCATTATAAAAAGCATCTTGTCTGAGAAAAGAACTTTCTTTCTCAAACTGGAATCTCAGGATCACATGTATTCTTGGGACTTGATAAATGAGAATTTTTTAAGTTTTGTATTTTCATTAGGAAAATAGTATTTTAAAAACTGACTAAAAACATATTCTGAATCACCAGACTTCAAAGAGCTTTCAATGCTCACATGTGGATCAAGAGATAAGACTTTAACATGGGTTAATAAAAATACATACTGCTTCCGTAAGTAAATGATGATCTGTGCTAAGTGAAGTCCAGATGGCATCCTACAGAAGTAAAAGGTTTGTAATTTGAACAAGAGGTGATGGGGGAATTGCGTCATCACATGCGCAGGAACTCAAAACACACACACAATTGCACACGACTTTTCTCCCGGCACCTGGTAAGATCATGCAGTGTTGCCATGACAAGGAAGCTCCAGAATTCAATTCTACTATTAAAGGAGTAACCAAGTGGGGGATGGAGATCTACAACAGTTAATTCAGCCAGAATTAATTTCACGAACATTACTAGATGAAGGAAATGTAACTTTAATGTGTTGTCCTTTACAGACTTACCGGGATTTATAATAAAACCAAAGTTGAGGATAGGTTGTCACCAGGTAAATACGTTGTCCATCGCCCACTTTGTATTCCAAAGCAAATACATGAACATCCTTTAGAAGATCAAAAATAATATTCAAAAAATTAATAAGGCACAAATCCAAAATCAACTGTAGCTATGCAATGTTCCTGAAGAATTTTATCAAATTTTGGAAAAGTGGAATTTGAACATCTTTATTACTAAAAAAAGAAAAATAATTATTACATCTATGCCAATCAAAATCTAATTATATTTATTTTTATTCACTCAAGTAATACGTGCTCAAGGCAGAAACAATTCGAATATCCAGATCAAAAAGAGAAAAAAAAGGAGAAAAATCACTTTTCAACCACCTCAGTTTGACTTCCTATTATAGCTTCACTTTCTAGTTTATGAAACTGAACTATTTCTTTTAAAGATTTATTCATTTTAAAGAGAGAGAGAGAGCTCACATGCATCATGGGGAGGGGCAGAGGGAGAGAGCCTCTCAAGCAGACTCTGCGCTAAGTGCAGTTTTCCTTCCTCCTCATTTCATCCTTAAAAATTTCATACTCCACTCATTCGTTTCCTCATATTTCTGTGGGTATTGTTGTAGTTCTCCACTTAAATCTAGTCATTCTATTATTTTTCAGTCCATGGATATGGTCATTCTTCCTCTAAGCATAGCTTCTTTTATTTATTTTTTAAGTTTTTTTTTTCCTAATTTATTTATTTGACACAGAGAGAGAGAGAGCACAGGCAGGGGGAGTGGGAGAGGGAGAAGCAGGCCTCCCGCTGAGCAGGGAGCCCGATGCGGGGCTCGATCCCAGGACCCCGGGATCATGACCTGAGCCGAAGACAGACGCTTAACCGACTGAGCCACCCAGGCGCCCCAGCATAGCTTCTTTTAAATGTCATTATGTGTTCCCTCTTTCACTGTGTCTTTCTCTGTCAAACAAATAAATAAAATCTTTAAAAAATAAATAAATAAATAAATAAATAAATGTCATTATGTGAGAGTAGGACAAATAGGCTGAGTAGGAGGATGCTGAGCTCACCTCCCATGGACACACTGAGGTAACCGCCACAAGTAAAGCAACTTGCTCTGAAAACAGTCAAAGACCAGCAGAACAGATCTTCCACAGCTGAAGACGTAAACTCAGGGCAATATCAAGAAGGGGGGGCGGTAAAACAAAAATAGGAACTAAACCCTGGTCCGGAGAACCACAAGCAGGACAGTTAGTACAGGCGTAGAAGTCCTCCCTGAGGAGGAAGAGGATCAAGCCCCACATCAGGCACCCCCAGGCCTGGAGACCCGCCGCAGGAGAACGGAGAACCAGTCCCCGTTCCCTAGTATATCTGGTTTTTGAAAATCACCAGGACTTAACTCTCAGACAGACTCCACTGTTACAGGGCCAACACACCATATTACTTAGTTCAAGACCCAGCACACAGGAGCAGCAGTTTGAAAAGCAACTGGGTTACATACAGGAAGATTTATTGACTAATTTTAAGACCAGTGCCAGAGAAACCAAGATAGGGGTAGGAGCTCCCTCTGGAGACGCGAGTGCTAGTGGGTGGCATTTTTGTTGCCCTCCTTTGGCCTAGCTGGCCCGATACTGGTGGGAGCCGGTCCTGACTCTCCGTCTGCCTGCCCCATCTCAGTGCTCCCCGGGCGACTGGCCCCATCTAACCTGCCTGCCCTGACAGGCACTCATCCAGCGCGGCTCTGGCCTCACCATAGCTGGCAGACAGCCTCGGTTGGGGCCAGCACCCCCAAAAAGCAACACTAACCCGGCCACACCCAGCAGACAGCCCCAGCTGGTACTGGCACCCCCCCAGAGCGAGTCCTGCCCCAGGCAGGTGAGGAGCCGCACTGGCTGCGGCCAGGCCTCTCAGCCAGAGGCCTCAGGGCCAACAGCACTGGGGGCTAGCTCTTCCCACCTGTGTGCCCGCGGTAGTCACAGCCAGTCATTAGAGTCCACTGATCTGGGGAACAGGACTGCCCAGCAGGGCGCCCAGAGGAACCACGGCCCACAGTCATTGCTGATGGACAAGGAAGGCTGAGGACCAGGCCCAGCAACCAGGGCACAAGCAGCTGCCGCAGCCTGGGCACCACAGGAGGTCACGTGCAGTCACAAGGGGACACCCCCACAGTGACTGGTTCCTGTGACTGGCGGGGGTTGTGCTTCTGGGCCCCCAGGACACCTGTCACATAAAGCTACTACTCTGAAGACCAGAGACAGAGCTGACTTACCTAATAATTGAAAACAAACACAGAAAGTCAGACAAAATAAGGAGACAGAGGACTATGTTCGCAACAAAGGAATAAGACAAAACCTCAGAAAAAGAAACGGAGATAAGCAATCTACCTGACAAACAGATAGTTCAAAGTAATGGTCAGAAAGATGCTTACCAGACCTGAAAGAAGAGTGGATGTACTTTGAGAACTTCAACAAAGAAATAGGAGATATAAAAGAGAAGGAATCAGAGCCGAAGAATACAATAACTGAAATGAAAACTACACCAGAGGCAATCAGAGCAGATTAGAGGATGCAGATTGTGGAAAGCATCCAAGCTGAATACTGAAAAGAAAAGGAAATGAATAAAATAACCATAGGTTAAGGAACCTCTGGGACAACATCAAGTGCACTAACAATCACATTATAGGAGCCCCAGAAGGAGAAAAGATAAAGGGGCAGAAAACTTACTTGAAGCAATGATAGCCTAAAACTTCCCTGACCCGGGGAAGGAAAAATTTAACAGTGCCAAGAAGCACAGAGAGCCCAAACAAGATGAACCCAAGGAGGTACACACCAAGACACATGATAACTAAATGGCAAAATTTAAACATAAAGAGAGACTCTTCAAAGCAGTAACAAAAAAGCAACTAGTTACATACAAGGGATCACCCACAGATTGTAAACTGATTTTTTTCAGCAAAAACGAGGCAGGTCAGAAGGGGGTGGCATGATACATTTCAAGTGCTGAAAAGAAATAAACCTATGTCCAAGAATACTCTACCCAACAAGATTACCATTCAGAACTGAAGGAGAGATAGTTTCCAGACAAAATTTAAAAGAGTTCTTTACCACTAAATTGGCTTTCCAACAAATTTTAAAAGGACTTCTTTATGTGGAAAAGAAAAGAACATAAGTAGACGAAAATTATGAAAGGAAAAAATTTCACTTATCAAAGAAAACATATAGTAAAAATAGATCAATCACTTATAAAGCCAGTATGAAGGTTAAAGGACAAAAGTAGTAAAATATCTACAAAAATTAGTTAAGGGGAACATAAAACAAATAGATGTAAAATATAGCATCATACACTTAAACACAGAGGTGGGAAGTAAAAATGTAGCACTTTTAGAATGTGTTGGAACATCAGCAACCACCAACTTTATAGACTGCTATATACTTAAGATATTATACGTGAACCTTGTGGTAACTATACGCCAAAAACCTGTAACAGATACACAAAAAATAAAGAGGGAGGAATCCAGGTATAACACTAAAGAAAGTCATCAATCACAAGGAAAGACAGCAAGAAGGAAAAAACGAGAACTACAAAAACAACCAGAAAACAACAAAATGGCAATAGGTACATATCTATCAATAATCACTTTTACACGGACTAAGTGGACTAAATGCTCCAATCAAATGACAAAGCGTGACTGAATGGAAAAAAAACCATCCCCATCTATATGCTGCCCACAAGAGACTTCAGACTGAAAGACTGAAAAAGAAGGGATAAGATATGCCATGCAAATGAATGGAAAAAAGATATTCCAAGCAAATGAAAATGAAAAAAAAAAAAGGCAGTACTTATATCAGACAAAATAGACTTAAACACTGTAAAAAGAGACAAAGAAAGGCATGACATAGGGGCTCCTGGGTGGCTCAGTCGGTTGAGCATCCAACACTTGGTTTCAGCTCAGGTCATGATCTCAGCGTACTGGGATTGAGCCCCTTGTCAGACTCTGCACTCAGCAGGGAGTCTGCTTGAGATGCTCTCCCTCTGCCCCTCCCGCACTTGTGTGCGCTCTCTAATAAATAAATCTTAAAAAAAAAAAAAAAGAATAGCATGACATAATGAGGAAGGGATCAATCTAACAAGAGGATACAACAATTGTAAATGTCTATGCACCCAACACAGGAGCACCTAAATATATAAAGCAAGTATTAACAGACAAAGAGGGAGAAAGTGACAGTAATACAGTAATAGTAGGGTAATTGAACACCCCACTTACATCAATGGATAGATCATCCAGACAGAAAATCAATAAAGTAACACTGGCTTCGAATGACACAAGACCATATGCATTTAATAGATATATACAGAACATTTCATCCCCAAAGAGAAGAAAACACATTCTTTCAAGTGCACATGGAACATTCTCCAGGATAGATCACATGTTAGGCCACCAAACAAGTCTCAATAAATTTAAAAGGACTAAAATCCTATCAAGCATCTGTTCCAACAATACGAAACTAGAAATCAATTACAAGAAAAAAACTGGAAATAACACAAACACATGGAGAATAAACAACATGTTTCTTAACAATGGGTCAATTGGGTGAATGGAGTCAATGGGGAAATTCAAGAGGAAATAAAAAAAAATACCTGGACACAAGAGAAAATGGAAACACAATGGTTCAAAATCTATGGAACACAGCAAAAGCAGTTCTAAGAGGGAAATTTATAAGCAATACAGTCCTACTTCAAGAAATAAGAAAAATCTCAAAAAAGCAATCTAAACTTACACCTAAAGGAACTAGCAAAACAAGAGCAAAGCCCAAAATTAGAAGGAAGAAAATAATAAAGATCAGAGTGGAAATAAATGAAATAGAGACTAAAAAGATAATAGAAAAGCTCAATGGAATTAAAAGCTGCTTCTTTGAAAAGATAAACAAAATTAATATAGCCAGACTCACCAAGAATAAAAAAGAAGACTCAAAAATAAAATCAGAAATAAAAGAGAAGTTACAACTGACACCACAAAAATACAAAGGTTTATAAGAGACTACTACAAGAAAATATATGCCAACAAATTAGACAACCTAGAAGAAATGGATAAAGACTGAATCAGGAAGAAATAGAATATCTGTACAGATGGATTACTAGTAATGAAAGTGAATCAGTAATCAAAAAGTTCCCAAAAAACAACAGTCCAGGACCAGATGGCTACACAGGTGAATTCTACCAAACATTTAATAAAGAGGTCTCAAGCTATTCCAAAATATACAAGAGAAAGGAATTTTTTTTTTTAGATTATTTATTTATTTGAGAAAGAGAATGAGATAGAGAGAGAGCATGAGATGGGGGAGGGTCAGAGGGAGAAGCAGACTCCCTGCTGAGCAGGGAGCCGGACGGGGGACTGGATCCCGGGACTCCAGGATCATGACCTGAGCCGAAGGCAGTCGCTTTAACCAACTGAGCCACCCAGGCGCCCCCCCCCTTTTTTTTTTTAAGGAATGCTTCTGAATTTGTTGCACAAGGTCACCAGCATTACCCTCAAACCAAACTGGACAAAGACACTACAAAAAAAAAAAGGAAATTACAGACCATTATCCCTGATGAGCACAGATGTAAAAATCTTCAACAAAATATTAGTAAACCTAACACAATACTTTAAAAGGTTCATTCACCATGATCAAATGGGGTTTATTCCAGGGACGCAAGAATGGTTCAATATCCACAAATCAACATATACAGCACTTTAATAAAATGAAGGATAAAGATCAGATGATCACCTCAATAGATGCAGAAAAAGCATTTGACCAAATTTAACATCATGATAAAACTATCAACAAAGTGAATATAGAGGGAACACACCTCAACATAAAAAGACCATAAATGACTAACCCACAGCCAACATCATACCCAATAATGAAAAGCTGAAAGCTTTTCCTCCAAGATGAGGAAAAGATAAGATGCCCATTCTTTACACTTCTACTCAATATAGTAGTAGAAATCCTAACCACAGCAATCAGACAAGAAAAAGAAGGGGAAAAAAGGCATCCAAATTGGTAAGGAAGAAGTAAAACATACAGATGGCCAACAGACACATGAAATACTCAATATCACTAATCATCAGGGACATGCAAATCAAATCAAATCAAATCAAATGAGATATCACCTCACACCACTCAGAATGGCTAGTATCAAAAAACAAGAAATAGGGGCACCTGGGTGGCCCAGTTGGTTAAGCATCTGACTCTTGATTTCGGCTCAGGTCATGATCTCGGGGTCCTGGGATGGAGCCCTGAGTCAGGCTCAGCGTTCAGTGGGGAAGTCTGCTTGAGGATTCTCTCTCTCCCTCTCTCTCTACCCCTCCCCGACCCTGCTCTCTCTAAAATAAATAAATAAATCTAAAAAAAAAAAGGGACAAGAAATAACAATGCTGGTAAGGATTTGGAGAAAAGGGAACACTTACGCACCACTGGTGGGGATGTAAGTTGGTGCAGCCATTACAGAAAGCAGAATGGAGGTTCCTCAAAAAATATTAAAAATCGAACTACCATACAATCCAGTAATTCCAATAATTCAGTATTCACCTGAAGAAAATGAAACCACTAAATCAAAAAAGTATATATCCTATGTTTACTTGTAATAGCCAAGTTATGAAAGATACCTAAGTGTCCACTGATAAATAAAGATAAAGATGCAGTATATATACACAAAAGATTATTACTCAGCCATAAAACAAAGAATGAAGTCTTCCTGTTCACAACAACATGGATGGACCTAAAGGATATTATGCTAAGTGAAATAAGTTAGAGAAAAACAAAAATCGTATGATTTCATGGAATCTAAAAACAAAACAAACCTGAAACAGACTCATAAATACAGAGAACAAACTGGTGGTTGCCTGAGCGAAGGGGGATAAATAGATGAAGAGGTTTAAGAAGCACAATCCTCCAGCTATAAATGAGTCATGACGATGAAGGGTATGGCATAGGGAATACAGTCAACAATATTATAGTAACTTTGGTGAGAGATGGTGATTAGACTTATCATGGTGAGCATTTTGTAATGTATATAATTGTCGAATCACTGTGTTCACCTGAAACTAATATACTATGTCAACCATATTTCAATTAAAACTTTTTAAAATATCATTACAAATTTTTTAAACTAATTGTCACTACATGGCTCATTCTTTTTCATTTATTAAGTAAATGGCCAAAAATTCATAGGGATAATTTCTGTAAATAGTGTGAAATTTAGGGACACCTGGGTGGCTCAGTCGTTAAGTGTCTGCCTTCGGCTCAGGTCATGATCCCAGGGTCCTGGGATTGAGTCCCGTATCGGGCTCCCTGCTCAGCTGGGAGCCTGCTTCTCCCTCTGCCTGCTGCTCCCCCTGCTTGTGCTCTCTCTCTGACAAATAAATAAATCTTAAAAAAAAAAAAAAAAAATAGTGTGATATTTAGATCACAATTAAATTCTTTTGAGAGATCATGTGGACTGAAATGAAGACAAACAACAGACTTTTTTTTTTTAAATCCTAAGTTATAGTAGCTTCACAAAAAAAAAAAGTAGGAGACAAGAAAATTACCTCTTTACAGCTTTTAACAAAATTAAAAGCCTGAGTTTGCCGATGGAATAGTTTCCAAATGGAGGGTGGTTCTTCTGGCTTGGACAATCTTGGTCTGTATACTGAGGATAATGGTTTCCTCTCATAACGAGATGCTCGTTCTTCAATTTGCTTCAGTTTTGCTCCCCATTTTCTCTCCATTGGTTTAGAAGTTACGGGAAAGTAAATTCTATCCCATGTAAGATTTCTGTCGGTTAGTACTAAAACAAACAAACAAGGACATCAATTTCTTTGTTTAGAATATATTTTTTTGGTAAAACTACAAAACCCATTTCGTAATGGTTATTTCCTTAACTGCCTTTACATATAATATATATTATGTACATATGTACTATGTATATACGTATATAGTATATATAACATATATACTATGTGTGTATATGTACTATATATATACGTGTATATATAGTTCTGCATGAAGTTTTAATGTGAAATAAGAATGGGGCTAGTTATCAGGTAGCTTTAGATCTTGGCTCTTCCATCTAATAGTGCTATGATTTTAGAAGCACCCTAAGCCTTAACTGCAAAATGGGGATCAATGTCATCCTGAACACTTTATGTAATTATCAAAAGGATAAATGTGATAGGACATAAGAAAACGTTTTGTAAATTACAAAGCCTCATGTAAACATAAGTGGTTTTTGTATCATTATGGTTTTTATTATAACCACTTTATTGCATCAAGCACTACCTTGCCCAAGTAGTGCTACTACATTGGCCATCACTCTTGTGCTACTATTTCTTAGTACAGAGTTCCTTTCTAGACACCACTGTGCAGTTCCCTTTTCTTCTGTTTCCATCCATTGCTCTTCTTTCCTCCCAACATGATAGTTAGTTGGGAGAACAATTCAGTGTATAAATGAGAACGGCAATATTGGTTAGTTTTGGTTTATGTTAATCATAAGCATGTTTAAAGATAGGAATAAACACATTTTAACCTGTGTCTGTTAATTTAATGACCGTATTTTTGTCATTAGTCAATGTGAAATGGCAGTCTTTTAATCCTTGTTTATTAATGACATGTGTTTTTTGTTTGCACACAGTATATCCATGTTAGCCATGCCAAGGTAAGGGGGCCAGGAAATACTTTTGTGATTTGGGATTATGGTTTACTTACAAAAAAAAAAAAAAAAAAGGATAGGCTTTTAGAAGGGGAGAAAACCTTGCATCGTAGGTAAGTAATGGCCACAGAATCTCTGCCATTCCTCCTATCAAGAGATGGTATCTGAGCCCACTCACTGATTCTGTACTTGGCCATGTGACTTGCTTTGGTCAATGCTGCATCAACAAGTGTGAAGCAAACCGAGGTGTAGTAAGTGCTTTTGCCCTGGCTTTGGCTATGCTGGAGTCCTGCCCCGCGACTGTCGTGCTAGAACTCTGGTCTCACAGAGGATAAAAGGACATCAGGAGAAGAATCAAATTACCCCAGCTAACAGCCAAGACCAACTCTCAGATATATTGAGTTCAGATGTTTTGGATCATCCAGACATCTGAATTCAATGCCTAAGTAAGTCTGAGTGAGTTCAGGTGACATCTGCCAAAGACCTGCCCAGTCAACCCATAGAACTGTAAGAAAAAATTAACTTGTCTTAAGCCAAGAAGTTTTGGTCTGGTTTTTCATACAGAAATCGATAGCTGATGTAGTCTCCCTCTTCATTAGTATCATCTTCATTAGTAATATCATAATTTATATAGAAAACACATATAATAGTTTTTTAAAGTGAAATAACGACATATACTAAAGCATTCGAGAGAAAAACTCCTCTTTACCTCTGGCAATGCCTTTCCAGTACTTGTGCTTATCGAGTCAATAAATACTCTTGAATTTTTGCAGAAAACTTTGCAACACAAACTCACTGGCAACTGATATATTCCTGGGAAGGAAAAACAGGTTCATCCTAAAAGATTGAGATGGTAGAATATCACGACACTGTTAGATTTCACATTGGACCTCAAACATATCAGACCTAAGAAAGATTATTGTTACACCTGATCCACATGAAAATTATATTTTATAAACCAAGAAACAAACATAATTCTAAAGGTATCAATATGAACTTCATAACAGATATGCCTAGAAAGAGAATACAATTTCACTGGATTGAAGAGCTGGAATAATTTTTAATGAAATGGCTTTTTTCAATATAAAGTGACATAGGACTCCAGATTGCTAGATTCTGAGTATTCAGTTTATTTTAATCTGCTTCGCATACAGATAAAAATCCTTTACATTTAGACAACCTAAGTGAGAAACTGACTTTCTTCTATGAAATGTATTAACTTTTAATAAAGCCCACTGATTACTTAATGAAGAAAATAAACACAGAATGCAATTAGATAGGATTTGTAGCTCTAGTACCTAGCCAGTAACTGACAGAGTAACCATGTGGATGTTCATACTTGGTGACATGACATCGGGAAAACTTCTGATTTTGTAAAAAAAAAAAAAAAAACCAATATTTTTTATGCACACCATACATGAAAGTCATGGAAACACAATGGAAAACCAGTCTGACACTTACCAGACTGAAGAAACCACAATGTCAACAGAGGAAAAAGAGGAATTCAATATATGTTATGCTCTCATGTTGTCTGCACAGTTCAAAAATTTTAACAGCTGGGTTGAGGGTCAGAAGACAACTGGGGGCTGGGCTATTGGAGCAGGAGGGCTGAATGACAAAAGCAAAGGAAATGGAGACAAGGAAAGCATCTGGCATTCTGGTTTGGGACTATCACATTCTTCATCCCTACCCCCTGGGATAAGAAATAGGTCACCATTTTAGAAATGCTTTTAATTCCTGGTAGGGAAGGACTGCTGTCTTTCTTTTATATAACTGTACATCAAAAACCCCTTTTTACACAGAGGCCGTAACTATTTTTGGTAAGTTTCCAAGTTCCAAAGAAAAATATTTGTTGTTATTTTAAAATAGTAGGTTTAAGAGCTCTATTATTTATTTCTTCACATTGCACCACAATGTTAATTTCTTTTTTTTTTTTTTAATTAAGCTCTATGCCCAATGTGGGGCCTGAACTCCTGACCAAAAGGTCAAGAATCACATGGTCTACCCACTGAGCCAGCCAGGCGCCCCTCCGCCCCACCCCGCCCACAGTGTTATTTCTTAACATTGTGTTTCGCCACGGTCAATACTGATTTTACAACTAAAGGTGGTCAGGCTAGAAAAAAGGCTGGCTTAGTCCTTTTAGAGGAACTGTAGTGGGAGAAGAGGCAGAGGGAAGGAGGAGGAGAGATGACACAGCCAGCCAGCCTCAGTAGCCCTGGTTTCCCTAGGTTTATGCCTAGACTTGCCCAGCTCGGACACTTGAAGGCCTGAGTCCCAGGACCAGCTGGAATAGACAGCACATGCTTCATGATTCCTGGCCTCTAGAGAAAGCTTCCTTACTCTTTTGTCTATCACAAGTCAACTCCTCTTCCCTCTGCCCTGAGAACAGATTCATCAGTATTTTGTGCTTTCTGGCATTTATGTTCAGTTCCAGTATTTAGTCATGTTCTGGTATTTGGCAATATTTTCTTTTCTTTAAAAAGATTTTACTTATTTGAGAAAGAGTGAAAGTGAGAGAGATCAGAGGGAGAGGGAGAGGCAGACTCCAGGCCGAGCAGAGAGCCCGATGCGGGGCTCAATCCCAGGACGCCGGGATCACGACCCAAGGTGAAGGCAGATGCTTAACCAACTGAGCCACCCAGGCACTCCGGGCAATGTTTTCTTAACATAATCCCCTTTATAGCCTCTTGGAATACATTTATACTATTTCTCCCACTGCTAGAATAGTCATAATAAAGTATGTGATTAAAATTTATTTGTAGTAATATTGCTATGTAAGAGTACATTCCAGATGAGTACATTCACCTTTTCCACTTCGGTCATTTTGCCTCTCAATGCTTGAACAGAAGTAACTCATAATTTCCCAGAAATCTCCTATAAGAGATAAGAAAACATACAGTGATCTATTGTTCTTTTCCAGTTCCCCCTTTCTACCATCCTCACTGGATCCCCCATCCAAATAGCCTAACTCTCTGCCAGACTAATCACCCTTAAAACCAGATTTGTAACTTTCCATAGCGACATTCCTTAATGATTCAGAACATCACTCAATTCACACTTTGGCTTACCTCAAGAAGTCCAAACTCCCTCTATAATCTGGACCAGATTCTAAACCACTTTACAGTCTCCAGAATCGAAACCCCTTAATCATTTTATTTCTTATTGTTCAGGCATCTCACCAAATGAACGATAAGGACCACATCCTGTCCCTGGCTGACTACAATCACCCTCTTGCATATATATTCCTCTTACCTGGAATGCCTCACTTGCCTCTCCCTCTTCGAGGCCCAGATCAAAGTTGGCCACCTCTGAGACAATTCTGTAAAAAGAAATTACTGGATTCAGTCAGAAGACATCACCTCTAGCCAACCCTTTTACTATGATAAAGTTTCACTAGACTAATTAGCGTAATTTACAGGAAAACAGAAAACCACTGCTGCTGCTGCTTTAACTGAAGTATCATTTCGGTAAGAGAGTTCAGCACAGGAAGGGGTGTGGGCATCACAGTGGGGTGATAGGACCTGTGCAACTATACTAGCACCTCCCTTATGAAGAACTGCATGCTGAACCAATGGTAGGGTTTGGAGGGGGTCCTATTCTTCAGTTTTACCGCAGCAGAAAAAGGGCCTGCCAAACACTGGTCCTTTCTCAATTTGGGAGGGATTAAGAAAGGCCCAAGTGTTCTTCTTGGGATGCAAATCTAACTCCGGTAATTCTCCTTTTAGCAAGAGCAAATGACTTAATTTTCTTAAACCCGTGCAGGGATTGGGATTCCTACCTCCGGGAGTTGTTGAAAGGGTAAGAAAATGTGCTGCGAAAAATGTACTAAGCACTAACAAAGGGCTGCCATCTATCTATCTATCTATATCTATGTCTATGTATGGACAAAATACGGCCCCTGATTTATACCCGAATAGACAGAAATGTTAGGGGCAGGCTGGCTCTTAACGTGGGAATCCCTGACTTAGAATGATGTCCTGAACCTCTTGAAGTTTGATGCAGAATTTCCTGCTGGATTTGTGTTGATAAATTCTGCGAAAACGACTCCTTGTTTGCACCAGGGTCTGTACGCAGTCCGTGAACCAAAACCGGCGGGGAGGCAATAGCGCAGGGAAGGAGGATTTAGGGGCAGGGAACCGGGGGTGAGCCAAGGAAAGGCCTCGGGCACGAGAGGGGAAGTAGAGATTACCAGCGCGGGTCGCGGCCTGCTCCCCTTCCTCCGGGAGGTCTGAGTGGGTGTCAGGCCCGCCTTTGACTCCCTCCTCTCTGCTCCTTGGGCCTCGCGAGGCGTTCAGGCGCCCCTCCTTTTACTTTCAGAAGCCCGCGCCACCAGCGGAAACCCGCGGGTCCTCACTTGCAGGCGGGACCGCTCTTCAAAACAAGCGCGCGAGGGCGGGGCCCGAGAGCGGGGTGGGCATGCCGACAGGAAGGGACGCTCAGGCCTATGAGGGAGCGGCAAGGGGCGGCGGGGGCGGGGAGAAGAGTGTGCCGGGCCTATGAGGGAGCGGCTGGGGCGGCGGGGGGCGGGGAGAGGAGTGCGCCGGACCTATGAGGCAGCGGCGTAGGGGCGGCGGGAGCGGGAGAGCGCTGGGGCTGGAGGGACTGGTCAGCGCAGAGGGGAGAGCGCGGGGACGGGCCCGGGGCAGGGCTAGCGGGGGCGGGGCCTCCCGGGAGCACACCTTTTAGGACTGCGGGCTGGGGCCTGCGGTCTGGGAAGTCTAACCGGCGCGAGAGGAGTCTTGGCTGGAGGCTGTGCGGTGAGTGCTGCCATCCGCCCTTCCCGCAGCGGCCCCGTCAACCCTGGGCCCGCTCCCTTCGTCCTCCCAAGCCCTGCGCCTGCCCCGGCACCCTTCCCGGGCTTGCAGCTGCTCCGGGGAGGAGAACGTTGGGCACGGTCCTTCCGGCGGATCCTTTGTTATCGCACCAAGACGGGTGCGAGAACGTGCACTGAAGCCTGCTTAGCGAGAGACCCAAGGCGGGTGGAGGACACCAGGGGATGTGGAGGCCGGGGAACGGAGATCTGGCTGGAGATGCGGAGCCCGGAGGACTGGAGGGAGGATCGAGAGGCCGGTCCGGGAGCGTCGAGGCCGGGTTGCAGGAGAGTCTGGATCCGGGGGTGGGAATAGGGGATTGGAGCCGGAGCCGAAGGCAGCGGGGTGCTTGGGAAGTGAGGGTAGCCAGGACCTTGGGCTGACGTTTGGATCGGGAAGAGTGGAGCGGATGATCGGCGCGAAAAAACGGTGCCCCAAGAGGGCTGGAGGCGAGCCTGGTGACTGATCCTCCTATTACTGGAAGAGGGTTTGGTCTCTGCTTCTTTCTCTGTACCGGGCCTAGATTTTTTGGCGTTGACTGTGTGACTCAATTTTCCAGAGAAGTAAATTTCAAGCATTGAATTCCACTTCCTTTTCAGACCTGCAGGCTTCCTTAAATCCTTGCAGTTCTTCCCTGTGATTAAGTATCTGTTGCCAAAGTCACCTAGGAGCCGCTTTAAGATCCCCTCAGGGCATGCCTTTCTCACACTTGTCACTCTTGATTTCAGTGGGTCTGTTCTGAAACCGTGCAGAAGCTGCCTCTGTCCCTGTACTCAGTAAGTGGCACGCAAGCCAAAAACCAGCCTTCTCAGCTACCTCTCCCTGTTCCTTCCCCAGTTAGCCATCATGCCACCTGGACCTCCTAAATACCCGTGAGCTCTGTCCGCTTCTCTCCATTTTTGAGAACCACCCTAGGCTCTCACCTAGCTACAGCATTCCTCATCGGCCTGCATACTTCCAGACCCTTCCCCCTGCCCTCCATTCCATTCTTCACAGCACAAGCTGAGTGATCTTTATAAAATAGAATTCTAGAAGGCTGTTCCTTTGCCCATAGGACAAACCCAATCCCTTAACAAGGCTAACAAAGCCAAGCATAGGTTGGCGCCTTGGTCCCCTCCCCATCTTATCTTTCATTATACCACCATTTTCACTTACTGAACAGCCAGACTGATCTTCATACCCATTCTCTGCCTGGAACACTCTGCATTCCCTCTCTCCTTTCATTACATCACATTTGCTTGAGGAACTCCTTCTAGGTTTCTGTTCTCATTAAGTACTTCAAGGTTAAGTTTTCTATGGTGAGTTCCTTTTGCATCCTGCATTTCATAAAAAGCAAATGGCATATCCTTTGCAGTTGCTTGTTTACTTCCCTACTATCATCCCTACTAGTCTGTAAGCAAATTCCATGAGGGACTATGTTTATCTTGTTACCTTGTTGTTCCTTACTGTTTTTCCCCATATATCGGGCCTGGCACAAGTAATGCCCATACTACAGCATTATGCTTTTTAATAATTATGCCCTACCTGAAAAAAATAAACCCACTTTAGGTTTACTTAGCAAATTATAATTAAAGGATGTGAATTAGAAAGAAATGGCAGAAGTGAAATATGGAGTTGCTATGACAATGTGAATATGCAAGATAGTAACAGGTGCTAAGCAAAGTGGTTAGACCAGTCTGTATCAAAATGTGCTCAGCCACTTTGTGTTGGAGTTAGATGATCTCCAAGAATGAAATGTAAAGCTTAAGTCATCCCTGTCACAGCCTGATGTTGGAGCTTTGGTTTTGCCTTGCTCTTTTGCAAAACAAGGCTTTGAAGGTTAGAATGTGTTTTAATGAACGAACAATTTATTGGAGTGTGGCAATAAAACCTGTTCACAGTAAAAAACAACAACAACATTGTACCTAATTAAATCAGATTTGCTTTTGCTCTCTTTAAAAAAGGCCTTACTTCCTGCCATTTTAAGAGACTGACATGTTATCTGATACAGGCAATTACAATGTTTCTTTAATGTTTTGCTTTCAAACCCAATTTAACACAATCTACTGCTTCATCCCCCTTAAAAAGCAGTCTATTTTCATGTATGGCTTTAAAACAATTTTGGTGCCTACTATTAGATCTTTAAACTCTGCCTCAAATATGGGAAGCACTGGTGTTTGGGTCCCGAAAAAGAGGTGGGAATTTTTAGACTGTTAGATAATGTTTTGTACACATGTAACATATGTAATGGAGGGGAACAGGTACTTTGTTGTCAGACCACTCAAGGCCAGGTCCCAAGGGTGCCACTTACCAGCTCATTCATAAATTAAGCATAAATCATATATACACCTCATAGGGTTGTTGTGAGGATAAAATGGGATGTCTGTTGACTATGCTTTGTAACTATATGATGTTATTTCTCTGCCTATTTCATTCTTGCCTGCAAATTGCTTATAGAGCTTTTTTTTTTTTTTAAGATTTTATTTACTTATTTGACAGAGAGAGACAGTGAGAGCAGGAACACAAGCAGGGGGAGTGGGAGAGGGAGAAGCAGGCTTCCCGCTGAGCAGGGAGCCCGACGTGGGACTCGATCCCAGGACCCTGGGATCCTGACCTGAGCCGAAGGCAGACGCCCAATGACTGAGCCACCCAGGCGCCCGCTTATAGAGCTTTTGAATTAGGGTAGAGTAAGATAAAATTCTCTGATCCCTACTGAGCACTGTGTGGCGTCTGCCTTGTGGAGCCACTTTTGAATAAGGGAGTACAGGTGTGAGTCCCACACAGGGATAGGATCCATGGCTCTAACCATCACTCCGGGCACTCAGGTTTACTGCAGTACTCTGCACACAGTTCAGTAAATCATTACAGCGCAAATGAGAAATGAATAAATACTGACTGAGACTTTTCCCAGTTTCAAACCTTCTCTGGCCGGCGGAATTTCTTTAATCAGGTGGCTGTAAACCAGAATCTCCTTCTACAGAGGAGTGGTTCTGAGCGGGAGGGAGGAGACCCTGTAGGTTATCTGTAGTTTTTATAAATGGCATCCAAGATCCTTCATTCTACATTTATTTTATACAAAATATGGCTTTGGACAGTGGTGAACAATTTCAGCCTGTCTTGCTGGTCCTGGGGCCCTTCCAGAGAAAAGGAAAGAATGGTTTGATCTGTTTGTACGGCACCACGGAACTTAGTTCAGTTTACTCTGTATTTCGTTTTACTTGCTGCTCAGTGTGTTTTCACCTTAATTACAAAGTAAATATTAAGAGATTGACTACCAGGTCCAACGGCAATATCCAATTTGGTGATTCTTCTAATTCCCCGGAGAAATTCAGAGACCAGATGGGAAAGAATTTCAGTAAAACCTCTAGTACATTACAGCTGAAATCTGTTCTTATCCAAACTATTGTGAAAAGTCTGTTCTTTCTGTTTCACTTGCTGAATCTGGATATGTGACTGCTTTCAAGATTTTGTCCTAATAGGTCATAAATACAATCCTGATGTTTTTCAAGCTCTTTGGCAAAAGTATAGCCTTCCCAGAAGTCATGATGGAAAGGCTTCACCTTTACTTTACAGGCATATAGAAAATGTCTTAACAACATAAAACCAGATATTTTGCTTTTAGAAGTAGATTACCCAGTGGCATAAAAAACACTGTAAGTGTCATTCCAATTTTGTTCATTAATTAGAGTAAGTGCACTTTATACTATTTCAATGTCTCTGCTGTCAGTTTCTGTCATGTTATTTATGCTCTCTGTCTCATCTTAATTAGAGCTTCTAGGTTATGGATTTTAGTTTCCTTTATTGAAAGTAGAGAGAGTATTACCCCTCCTATAAGGTAGTAAGTCATGTTGAGGAGTGGGACTCTGCCCTCTCAAGGCAGACAGATCCTGGTTTGAGTCCTGGCTCTGCCACGTAAGTTACTTAACTGCTCTGAGCCTCAGTCAGCTGAACTGTAAAATGGGGATCATTATGTCTCAGACCATCGTTGGAAGGACTAGCCAGAAACACATAAGTAAATAATAAATGCATACCTACGTAAGTAAAAGTACGTTTTGGCTCAGAGTCTAGCCCATGAGCCAGCATCAAGAGGAACTATTGTTACAGGACACTTGTACACAACCCTCAAATCACATATGACATTTTGATTCTTTGGCCTTTTTTTTGGCTATGTGTTCTGGTAAATCTTTACTCATAATTTTTTTTTTTAGATAGATTCATGGAGACGATTCATAAGTGAGCAGTATTCATTCTGATGTCACATTTGGAGATTTCAGACCCTTTTGAGAGCAGGCTTTATCTTTTACTTCAGTTTCCTATTAGGACAGGCCCTAGGAACAGCCTACTGCTGGGGGACAGGTTAGTGGAGTAGGAATCTGGCAAACTGTTGATACTAATTTAATATCTTATTTTGAAATCTCTACCATAGGCACGCTTTTAAACTATTCATTTTTAATAACAGGGTTTTGTGGGCTTTTTAATTTTTAACACTTTATAACTTCATATAGAAATTTCAGTTTTAGAAATTAATTTTCATTCTGCTGCCTTCACTGTAGATCATCTATTCTGCTTTACTGGATTATTGCAATATACAATGGTCCCTTTAGTTGGCTAACTAGAATATAAATAGGAAAACATTAAAACTTTTCACTTGTTTAGGAAAACAGCATGAAATGTTTAAATATCTATTTTAGAGTGACAGTACATTTATACTGGACAACCTTCTTTTAGTTTTTGAAGATTTGTTTGTAGCAGCTTTAGTGGCAAGTGTTAAAGGGGTCTAGGAACTAGAGAAGTGAGTCTAAGACCCAAGTTCAAATTGCCATCTAATGCCTGTTGGTCTATCAAAATTTCTCCAGGATCTAATGTATGTTCAGAAATGTACTTTATAATCAGCAGCATCCTGAACTGATTGAAAGAATTATATACATCAATACAGTAAGAAACAATTAGTGTTCAGTTCATTGCTGTTCTAGGATATATTTTTTAAACTCTTTTGGTATGTTTTCCCATTTATGTTTTGTCAAATGAAAATGTTCTAAGAACATAAACTCCTGTTATCTCTTAGAGCGTTAACTATTTCCCTTGAGATATATTTTTTTTATTCTTCTAAGATGAGATCACCAACCCCAGAATAATTTGTATTCAGCCTGGCATTAGCTAATGGAGGTGAGGTAATGCTGTGACACGTTAGTAAGTTGCAAGAACCAAAGCTCTTCTCCCAAGAGTGTGTATGTGGTGTTTTCATGTGGAAAAACCAGATGGTGACAAGGAAAGAGCAAATGTGCACATGTCTGATGCAATGAGGATTTTATTTACCATTATATAAATTTGTGATACTATATGAAGGTCAATTGGTACTGTTACAATATATATGGTTCAGATGTTGATAAAGAAAGCAATGAAACACGTTATAGTATGTGTTCCTGAGAAATCTTTATCAAATAGTATAAGACACTGTTTCAAATCCCATTCCAAAGAACTCCTATTTTTTCCTTTCAGGCACCAACTACCTTACTGAAACAAAATCGTCCATCTCATGCCTAATATCAGATATCATCAAATTACAATCACTTTTATTAGGCTTGATCTATATGAAAACTTTCTTAACTGTTAAAAATGATTCGGTTAAAGTTCAATAAACACATGAAAAGGAAGTGACTACTTAAAAGTCACCTATTATTTAGATGAAATCTTAACATTGATATGAGCCAAGAAGCCAAATATTTTAAAACTCTGGAAAGCAGATCACTATTTAAATTTAAACTTTTTTTTTTATTATTCAGTTAGCCAACATATA